AATCTCAAAAATGATTTTCTGCGCGGACACTGCCTTTAACGACTGCCGCTGTTTTTTCAAAAAAGTCGACAAAACTCTTTTTGAATACCACCCTTGTTTGGATGTTCTATTTATACATCAACGGAACATAAACTATGAGAAATAAACAGTGCAAGTCGAAAAGTGCGCAGTAGTTTCTGCAGTAGTCATTGCCAGACCATATTTGCACAAACCAGGACAAGCTCCAAATTCATTTAGAAGACGACCGAATAAACATACCCGATTCCTCGCTGGACTCCACGGCCGCGCAAACCTCTGCCATTGTGTCTTCTGTTGCTACGTACGGGTACGGGAACATAGACTACTTGCGGTGGTGGCGGAAGAGTCACTCGTTCTTCTGAAAAATCACTATGACATAGGTAGAATTAGAAAAAACGCATTTACCTATGGGTCGTCTATAGAAAACAGGTGGACGCAATCGTCGAACTTGCTGTCCAAGAGGTAGATATTCTTCCACTAAGTCATCTTCAACAGGCTCCAGAATCTCAAATACCTTTAAAGGTGACGACCACTCATGTGCACATGAAAGCAAGACTCCTTTGCAAGTTCAAAGGTCAAAATTTACAACGTAGGGGGACCATGACTGCAGGATCGCTTTTCATTTAAAAAAAAAGGATTGAAAACGAAAGAAACGAAAAGATTATGACTGAGAAAACGAGTAAATTGTCTATGTGTACTTTTATACGTAATGAAAACATAAGTTGCCGCTTTTAACGGCAGAAAGTGAGAAGTATAAACTAGAAGCGATACCGGCTGTGTACGCATGATGGCTGCACGCCTTGAAGCAAGTGTTGGACCTCGCAAACGACCTCTAGCTCCTCCACGTAATGCCGGCTAAGAAAATACTATTAGAAGATTTATTGTAACAGAACTTCTGCAAAAATGTTAATCCAAAACAGAAAAATGCAACTAACCCGCTCAGCTGTTTGCTTGCCCGGCACCACCTTCGGCTTAGGCATGCGAGAGAA